CTCTCGATTTATGCAATTAATGCGCTGGGATGATAATAAATAACTACTCATATAGTCTTTTGATTTATCGACCAATTGTTTGTCATACAGCTGAATATACACTTGATACTTATATGGTAATCCCAATACCCAATATGGTATGATGAAACTACTATTGTTGAAAATACTTCTTTAATCATGTGGCTTCATAACAACTTCTTAAATGCCAAATAAGTACATAGTGCGAATGTTTAGCTCATGGGGGTTAAATATTAACTACACCTCTGGTGGACACGGGCACTTAATTACAAATGTGTTTGCCAAAATAGTTAAAGCCATTTCATGGTCGAATGTGCGGACCAAATTGGCCAGCAGCACTAGTAAATCAATTTCATGTTCTAAGCACATACGCACAGATCAAAAGCAGATGCAGAAACGCCTTGAATTATGGTTGAATGCCTCTCGTTGCTCATTTACGTTGTGGTACGCAGGATGCTCGTAAACAATCTACAGCACAACAGGGCTCTTACTTCTGCCTCGATGATGTTCCATTTAGTGCAAGCAGTTTGCATATGAGCAAATGGACACAAGCATAAGCACAAGCTCAAGTGTACACGTATGTAAATGCCGAATACAAATACTTGGAACAGTGTGCATAGCTGTAACGGAAGGCAACCTACTTATGACAGGACTCCACAGACAAGGACAATGCGCGCATGACTAAATCAGCATCAGCACTTTATATTCATAGCACTTGACAGAATTTGGCACAATTTGAATGGCATCGAATGTTAAATATAACTTAAGAAGTAATTATATATATTTAAAATAAATTGGTATCGCAAGCCTACAAACGTTCCTTGTTTGAAATGTATTATCGATCTAATTTGATTGCCATATTTGACCACAACGAGTAATTATTTGAAATAATCCTAAAATTATCAGCTATTTGCAATGTAAATAGGAGAAATTCTCAATTACAGTGTTTAATGTCCATTTGTGTAGTGCTGTGTGTGGGTCTGTCCCTATGTGCGTGTGTGTGTGTGTGAGAGAGAGGAAACAAAGACAACAACTCTCGGTACCAACTGTGATTTGCAATGTCCTGTGGCAGGGCAATAGACAATTTTGCAAATTTCCTAATTGCACTTGGTTTGGCTTGCTCGGGCTGGAAATGATGTCGCTCGGTTTACCACACAGCCAACAATTTTGGGGTGAACGTCAATTGATGTAGTCGGACCAGGGCGGACCAGGGCGGACCAGCACATGTTGCATCACTTTGAGGGCCAATTTGATTTTGGATTTGTTTGCACTTGTAATGTCTGTTCTTGTGGGAGCTTAAGGGCTTAAAGCTGTTATTAAGTCGATGGTCAATAAAATTTATAGTATATTTTAATATCTTATAAATTAAATAATAAACATTGCTGTGTATTGCGGTATTAAATGGGATGATAATAACAATGTGGCAGAAAAATCAATAATATTGCCTAGAAATCAATTGTTTTTTTATAACTGACATGTGAAAGTATCCGATTTGATTTGTCATTTCTTTATCCTGCTGGAGGAAAGGGAGTTCGCAGCGCTGCCATTGTGTTAAGTGTGAGTATCTTTATTGGCCCCGTGTTTTCTCCCCTTTAATTTTATTTCAGTTTTTTCCCTCGATTGCCTTTGTTTGATTGATTGCTTTGAACTTGATTCGTTTGAACTTTAAATATTAATCGCAAGTGGACCTCTTCTTGGGCTTTTCATTTTCAAAGTATGCATGTAAATGTTGTGCAACAGCAAATGCACTGTGTATGTGGGTGTGTGTGTGTGTGTGTGTGTGTGTGTGCGTATGCCCTAAGGGCACATATCTGTTATATCATCATGCTCTTGTGTTGTTGCTTTGATGGCTTACGCACTTTTCACGTTTTGTTCCCCAATTTGTACTCATATTACTCCACTAGGGGCGACAGGAGCAAATTCAAAGCACAACCCTCCTATTCATTGACAATTCAAATTTCAAAGCCTGAAACTAAATTTGAATGGTGAAAAGCTCGCCCATTCGATCCTATTCAATGTCCAGCTAGTTCCCTGCAAAGGTCTCGAGCTATTCGGTCATCTGACTATTTTATCGATGCGAAACACAAAGTTTCCAGTTTTTATTTTCCTATCAATGAGCTCTGTCTGCTTTGGATTTTGCTTTAATTAAAAATAAATATACAATCAGGCATTGGAGGGCTTTAGTCCTTTGAACTAAACTTTCAACTTTGGACAATTTTCGGCGATCGATTGACACGTTAAAAAGTTTGGCACAGCTGTTAATTATTGTTACTTACTTAAACAATCATTATAATTAGTCCTTTTCGTTGATGCGCTGAGCTGAATGACACGATAACAGAATCTACAGACATGAATGAACTCGACAGATTGAAAAACAATTTGTCGAATGAATTATACATGACAAAGTTGAAATTCTGCCACATAAATCAAAGATGAGTGGTTATCGGGACATTTGAACTTAAGAACGAAAAGAAAGAGAAACAAGTAAAACTCGAACAACATTTTACTCATTATAAATGTCATCAAGCATTATTTTTTCCATCAACTCGCTTCAGTTGCTGGCTGAAAATGATTTTTGTTGGCTTTTGCGGGAGAAATGCTGCTGGTTGCTGGGTATGTGGGTTGTTTTAACTACATGACAGTTGCCATTAATGCTGAAACTTGAACACAATGTACCATTGGGAGAGGCATTTTTAATGAAACAAAATTAAATGGGAAATTGAAACCGGACGGTCTGTTAATGAGAAAGCTATGAAATGACGGTCGTCTCGTTAACGAGCGACTTCAGTTTTGCTGCCTGGTATCAGTTGATTGCTAACTTGTCGTTAAGGTGTCCTTAATAACAAGTTGTTAGCCTTAATGACAAATATAACCATAAACAATGGCATCATTATATGCACAAGTTGTCCCAAAATGACTCTACCCTATAATATAAGAGCCAAAATGATCGGATATTAAAAAATAGTACCTATCTATCCCACCTGTAGTATAAAAAATAATTAATTGCTTAATAAATTATTTTTTTTATAACTAATACGATTAGAACTTTGTTGTTGACTACAAACCATATACATGATACAAAATATTTCATAAAACGGAAGATTTTTAATGCTAATATTTTAATTGGTATTTTTCTGTTGCCATAAGAAAATCCCAAAAAGCACCAATTAATTTATTTACAATTACAGTGTTAAGAAGCACTTAAGAATAATTATATTTTATTTTAATTCTTTTGACTTTGCAAGAGAAATGGAAGCCCAAAAATGTGTGCGCAACAAAGCCAAATACTTACTCGTAGACAGTTTAAGGCACAACAATTAGTGTCTCTATTATGCTACAGCTGAAAGCGGCAACAATAATAATAAACAATTGAGAGAAAATGAGCAGCGGATAGGTCAGAGAATCCCAAAGCCAAGTGAAAGCCATCAAAACAAAAACCTTAACTCCTCATGTAAACAACAAAAACATTGTTATCAGACATTGATGGCGTTGGCGCCGTCAAGGCCCATGAGACCTAGACAGGCAAAGAAACATTAGCGGAGATTGGTCTTAGCTGTCCTTGTGATATAGTGGGCGGTGGGGCGCCTAGTCTCGTTAAAATTTAAGCAAGTTTCAATGGACTGTAAATGAATGAAATTCACTTGGCCTATGGCTTAGTTTAAGAACTTTAGGCGCCAGCATTGCTCTTCTCGTCTCGATTGCCAATATCCGTTTCTATTTGTGCTCTACGCCTGTGGGAAAGCCAGCTGCATTTTAATTCTTTGCAAGTGCTAAAAGTAGTAGAATATAAAAGCACGAGCACGAGCCCAAGCTGTATGTAGTAAAAAAAAAAAAACGAAGAGAACTTGGTGAACTTTCTCATGCTTGCTGAATTTTGATTTACGACCACTTAACGTTTTTTATGGTCCCAGACAGCAAACTGCGATTGTGTTTGCCGCAGCATTTATACTTACAGTTACATAAAACCGATCCCGAGGACAGTATTTGGCTCAGTATTCCATTACCGTAGAATACAGTTGGAGGAAGCTTAGTGTGTGCGTCTGTGTTTGTATTACAAATAGGTTACTTTTTACAAAGCTATTTTTGAGTTAAGTTAGGTTAAGATAAAGTGCGAGTACAGTGACCCGTATAGAAGAACATGTTTTCGCACTTGGCCTACTATCGCCATAGTGGATTCGATTGATACTGATGAAGAATTAAAACCGTAACTTTAAAGAAAATGCCTAGAAAATGACTACATATTGTAGGTCAGTTCATTACTTACTTCTAGGGCATAAATCTGGAAGACTATGACCAGGAATTAAGAAATCAAACACGAGAATTGATTTTTATTTCGATTTATTTTATGGAAATGACTTTGTTTTTACGATATCTGCCTTGCTTTCCTAAATATTATTAAGTACGATTATGCTTGTTATTCTGTATATATTAATTGTGTGCGTTTGCCAAACACATTTAACTGTTTTTTTTTCTTTTTCTATTTTTTGTATTATATATCCTGTCTTTAACTTATGAATGAATTTAAATGCACATTTCACACTGTGCAACGATAAGTATTATTGCATACATATATTTACTCTTAGTGTTGTATTTTTTTTATTAATGTTTCAGAAATGAGAGAGTTGCCTCTTGACACGCGTGTGCATTTTATCAGTGATAGAATTAACGAATAATTGTATTTTACTATTATTGCATATTTTGTAATTAATTATGACAATTAATATCATAGTAAGGTATAATACAGTTGCAAAGTGCTTCGTTAGCGGTTCACTCGCTTGGCAATTCACAAAAACAAAAATTGGTTATCGATTTAATGTTTGAATGCGCTTTTGCAATTTAACTCATAAATAAACAGTTAAATCGCAACCAATATACAAATTTAAAATTCAATTTATTGTAACTGTGCTATGGAAAGTCAATTGTTTGCAGATATATATCTACATACATATGTTACATGTATGTATGTTCAAAGCACTTTATACATATGCCAACAACAGAAATCAAATCATTTATATTAAATTCAAAGCAAGTAAATTAATTTAAAAATGAATTGCAATATTTAGAAAACACAGTTTTAGAAAATTCAACAATAAATACATTGTGAAACCCACATATAAGTAATGTATATGCCTATAATTGGTTTTTTCTTTCGGTTTTTTGAATATATAGACGTATACTACGTATGAACGTACTAATTTGTTTTATAATACATACATTCTTATTTTTATGTCTTGTGGTATATATATGTATATATATATATATATCGTCAATTCGTCATTTTGATTGCTGTGCCAGCGTTAATTTATTCCATCTTTCAATTGCCCGTGCTAGTCAGAGAATTCGATTTATCATAAATTATCAAAATAATAAATAAATAAATGATAATGGAAGTCATTTAAATCGGCTTCAAATTCGCCCACTTCCCGACAAACCTTCTACTGCAAGAGTCCACTGACTGTAAAAGTGGTTGCCATAGCTGCCATGTGTCGCACTTCCGTTTGATTTGCGATGGGTTCCAGCTGACGCCAGAGTTGCGCATTGCCCGTCACCGCAGCCTCGGTGTGATTGGGGTTGACCCGCTCGAGGTGCGATTGTGTCACGGGCTCATCGCGGCGCGTTCTCACCGCCTGCGGCAGTGGTCACGATGACATATAGGTGCACTGAGTCTTCGGTTGTGGCTCTGTCAGTTCGATGGGTTGAATGGCTGCTCGTTTCCAATAGTCACGCACTGTCTCGACCGTTTCCATGATGCGCAGGAAATTGCGTCCCGCTAGCATGGCCACATCCTCTTCACTCCAGTTGTGATCCTCCAACAGAGCGGCAAGCAATTCCGGGTATTTGGACACATCCTCCAGACCCATCGGAGGCATCTCAATGCCATCGTAGCCGGCACCCAGTCCAATGTGTTGAATGCCCGCAATTGCTCTCACATACTTAATGTGTTCTATGACATCCTGCAGTCGTGCCTGTCGTCCACAGGCCACGTCCTCTGGGTCAAAGCTCAACATAATGAGACCACCATTCTCGGCCACCAAACGCAATATGTCGTCGGGCACGTTCCTCGTCGAGTTGCACAGCTGGCGTGCTGCCGAATGTGAGAAGATGACCGGTGCCCGTGTTACCTGTAGTACATCGCGAGCCGTTGCATCCGAGCTGTGCGACAGATCGATCATCATGCCCAGGCGATTCATTTCGCGCACAATGGCCTTACCAAAGGGCGTCAGGCCCTGTTCAAGTGGGGAGGCACTCGACCCGGCCCAGGACACATCGCAACGATGCGTCAGGCTGAGGTAGCGGGCGCCCAGCGAGTAAAAGGAGCGTAGTACGCCCAATGATGAGCCGATTGTGTGGCCACCCTCGATGCCGATCAGCGAGGCGAGCAGGCCTCGTCTATGCGTGGCCACAATGTCCTGCGAGGATGTCGCCAGCTCCGTGTCCCTTGCGTACATGTCCGACAGACGCCGCACAATGTCAATTTGCTCCAGTGCCAGCTGGACGGCATCCAAGCCCTGTGCCTCACATGGCACGTATGCTGACCTGCACGAAATGAAACCAAACAAAAATATTTCTATATATTGGAAAGTTTGTTTGGCCTTATTGGTCGAAGGACGATGGGTAAATAATCAATACGAAATAGCTACACTGTTAAATATAAATATATTATAAATATCCTAAAATATTATACTAAATAAACCAATTTGCCAAGAGTTAATGAAATATAGCAAATCATTTTAATGAAAAAACTATTTAACTTCCATTTATTGGAATTTTTTAAAATCTATTTGGATTGAAAATAATGTTCAGTCAATAATAAAATATAGATTGAATAAATATTTGTATAAAATTGTTCTAATTTTTACCAACATTTGCCTAGCTTTATAAACAAAAAGGTTTAAAGCATGCTGTGAATATTTAAAAGTTATATTAAGTTTCCCATATTTGTTCCATCGTAAATCTAACACAAAAACACAAATAATAACACTCATGAAATATTATCAACATGCATAGAACGTGGGCCCGCGCCGAGCAATCCAGCTCCTGCAAGGAGAGCCACGAAATCTTTCCGCAGGATATTCCCCCACCTCGTCGCTTCTCATTTGTTCCCACGTATGAAAAAGATGAACCAGCAATGGGTTTATTATTGGGCTGGGAATATGGTCGCCTATGGTTAAAGGAGCATAAGGAGACTATGATTAAGCAGCTAAGTGAAGCGAAGCCACTTTTCATTCAACCCGACTTTATCTGGTGGGTGAATAAGCGAGCCGCTGTTATAGACCGCCGACAGATCTTCTTGGAGAAAAAGGAGAACCCACATGTCAAGAACTGTAACTTAACCGCATTTGCCGCAGTAAAGTCTCATCGCCAGCGGCGTCATCTCGGCAATACTTCTCTGAATAAAACAGCCACAACCCCTCCTGGTTCAGCCACAGAATCGGCAGGCTCACTTGCGATGACTAACTTCGAGAAGGCTAAGAAATGCAACTGTAAGGATTGCAAGCAGAGACGCTGTGCGGCTGGCGGACAGACAAAGGAGCAATTAAATGCTAGAACTAAGTCCATATCAATCCCTTGGTATTGAAATTTACTTCTGTTAAGAACACATAAATGTATATTAGAGAATAAAGGGCTAGCAACCAATATACGTACAAAATATGTTAGCATTCAGAAGCACATTAATGTAATTAAGTATAAATATAAGGAATTGCTCTCGTGCACTTATGGAACTCTTATAGTCGCTTATGCTTAGTAGAATTCGCATTTATTCAATGACTGGGCGTTTGCCATACGCCACGTATTTGCCATTCAATTCTTGTCTCAGATCCTTGCAAATCCCATTATGATGCCGTTTGCATGCTTCCCATAAGCGTGGTTAACTAAAAGCATATTTGAATTTTAAATGCAATGATGGCCCATAACAACAGCAAATGGCGCAATCCGAATGGCGCTTCAGTTACAAAGTTGCGGCAAATGCAGAAAGCATTTCGCACGAAAATTGAACAATGATGACCACTAAAATTTTATTTGAAACTTGTTCAGAGTTACGCTTTGTTACGCTTTCGAGTAGTGCAATGCCGCAACCTCAGTTTTTCGGTAGTGTCAGAAGACTACCAAATAAAATCGAGTCGATTGCCTATCCACAATTTTCCCAGTTTGCATCTGTCTGCCACTTGTCAAGAGTTGCCGCCGCCCCATCCACTCCCACAACTTGTTGTTGTTTCCGTTTGGGGGCTGCTTGCCTGGCATCTGTGCCAGGTTGCGCATCTGACCTACAGCCGCGCACTGGCTGTTGCCAAATTTTATTTTGCAGTCAAATTGCTGCCATCCTTTCATGGGTGAATCCGGAAAGTGAGGATGGTCGATGCCTTGCACCCTTTGCAGTCTGGTCAGCGTTGGTTCTGTGTGGTTGTTGTTTTGTGCCGTTGTGCAACATGGTTGAGTCTGTGTAATTGACTGCCTTTCGTGCGATTGTTAAACGAAATTGATTTTTAGTGCCAAACAAATATTGTAAGCGTCATTAGGCATGAGCAAAATCTTGTTAATGGAGCAGATGATTGATCACACTTTCAAATGGGTTTCAAAATTGCGTAATCGGCGAAAACTATCAGACCTTTTGTTACAACCATTAAGCCGTGTTTTACAAAACTTTCAAAAAACCATAAGTGTGTTGAAGAGAATGAATAATGTCTCTCAAGGGATGTCAGAGTTGAGGATACAAAATTGAAGCAATCACTTACCAAACTTGGACGCCAACTAATCCTTGCTTAAGTCGTTCCATGTCTGTCTGCGCCCATGTTGGACGCGACCACATCGTCTTATGATCAAGGTCGTGACTGAGATGAACCAGCTCCAGACTGCTATGCGCGTATTTGCGTACGTTCCAGGCAAAGTTGTTGTGTCCGTCGACGAGAGGCACTTCGCGCAGGATGCGCCTTACGATTCTCAGTCTTTGAGCGTGCGAGTTGCGACTGGGCGACATGAGGAAGTGCTGATAGGCCAAGGTAGCCGCTATAGCCAGCAGACAAATGGCGCTTACTAGTGTGAGGGCAACCATCCAGGAACCGCGTCGCGACTTGTGTGCCGCACCAGAGCTATTCCTTGCCTTGCGTCCGCTTTTGCCCTTCGTCTTGCTGGCAGCACCGGCTGCTGCTGCGGCTGCTGCTGCGGCAGCCGTTGCCAATGAGGTGGGCGACTTGGTGTCGAGAGCGATGCCAGCGATATCGTTGCCAACAACAACGCCTCCCGTCATCGCGCTGCCAAAGACTTTGGACTTTTGTATGCTGGCTATTTCGCCGCCGGAGTCGCTGTTGGAGATAGAGTTCTGGCGGGAGAGTGTGCGGCGTATGTTCGAGTGTTCCGTTACGTCTGGCAGCCCGCCAAACCCGGTTGTCTGCAATGTGAGTAAAAAATGGCAAAGTTGGCGTGTTACTCGGCTGCGCACTCTATTGAACTTATTACCTGACAGCATACGACTCCACCCAACTGCCACCCAGCTGCCATCACCCAAGCACCTAAGCCCAATCGACTGTGCCAAAGTTGCTTCATTAAAAGTGCGTCAAAGTTTCTTCGTTGATTTTGTGCTCTAATTAAAACTGCTGCTAACTTTGAAGTTTTTTTTTTGCAATATTCATAGCTGGTATGAAACATCAACAAGACACAATCAAAAACTTTTTAACGAACCAATGACAAAATCACATTCGATGCATTTAAACCATTAGCTCTACACTACACGGTTAATCTCGGCTGAAACATAATTAAGCCCCTAGCAATAATTCACATATGTGTGTTCATTTGCAGGCATTCAGGCTGATGATGATCCCAAAATTCGTCCAAAATGCAAGAAAGTTTGTTGGCCAAAAGTTTGTCATCAACTATGCCAGCTGTGGCTGTCAATGATTTAGTTATTCTGCGACTGTATGTCGAATATATGCGAGTCTCGAATATAATATAGTTCGACAAACTTATTCGAATTTTCTAACATGCATTAAAACTATCGCGCGAATGTATACCAGGAATAAACACTGATAAAACTGCATTAGTTTGTTTGATTGTCGGGATTTGTATGCAATAATTAAATATTTATATCCATTTTGTGCTGTTTTTTGCTTTTTGTGGCATTAAAGGTAATATTAAAAGTGCTGACTTAATCCCCAAATACATTCAACGATTATTTAAAGTATCATATCATATCACAGACAGACGCGGACGCCTACTTTGTTATGCGCAATTATTTTCATTGGCAAAGTAATTCCACTGGGCCCCCCAGTTGGGGTTGCATGCCCATTCTGCTGGTATGTGCAGCTAATTAGTAAAGCCACAGAGCATGTGAATAATGCGTTGGTAGACAAAAAACAAAAAAATGGTCAAATCGGTTAACTAGAATATACCCTATGTCCAGGAAAATACATATTTCTAAGTCATGTTTTCGTACACTAAAACATTTGTATTCATTAATGTTTTGGCCATAATTTTACAATCGTCGCAGTCGATTATTATTATAACATATATAGTTTACCATTTGTTATGTATGCAGGGTATACCATAAAGGGGAGATATGAAAATGATTTTCATGCCAGCTGAAAATTAATTAAATAAAATACAAGCAAAGAAAAAAAACCACCAAATTATAATAAAAAAAAAATAATAAAGATGTCGACCAACACCGAGGTACAAGAATATTGTACGGCTCTTTTATTTGAAACTATTTTTAATTATGAATTCAGTCAGCATCAGACACCGAAATTAACTTTTATTAATACTGGCGAAACTTTCGACATCGCAATGCAAGCAATAAAAAGTGGCAGCACAGCAGTCAGACCCACGACTACAACATACTCTGTTCTCTCTGACAAACGTATAAAAGTATAAAAAAAAAATAAACAAATAAATAGATTTTAGCATGGTAGATTGTAATATCGTTATTTTCGACAGGAGGAGCAATACCTAGCTATGCGGTGCCATAATTCTCACAAGTCCTAAATACTCTTATTCTCAATTGTGAATAGAGTATGAAAATAATGAGATTGGTGGAAGTTTCGCCAAAAAAATGGACTTCAATTTATTCAATTTTTAATAAAAATGCAAATATTGTTTATACTTCAGAGTGCAACGATGCCTTGCATACCCTGTATTAACTCAGATGCCAGAAGAAAAATGCTTTATCTAAAATGTATGTATAGAAAACAAGACGAGAATATTAATGAAGATACAAATATTTATGTATATATTTTTATCAAAGATGGCAAAAAGGGTATCTGTATAAACAACTTGAGTAAGCATTTAAAATAAAATACGCCTAACTTTTTGGTTTGCCACTGCTTAAAGGCGTTCCGTTTGCATGCCGGGTGCCCAAGCAAAAGTTTGCAGTTAGCGGCGCGACCATGAAATTATCATCGCAAGCTTTAAGGGAATGGAGGAGGAGGGCCCTGCCGGAAAGCAGTTTTGGCCACATTTCGCGCTGAATACCCTTGTGTAGCGAAGGCGTCGCTGCTGCTACAATATTTATGGGTGGCGGCGGGCATTGCCCTTATAGCCGGTGTTAGCATTTGGGGCATATTCAACATTTTGGTTGCACTTTACTCTGGCTGCTGCACCGGGCTTATAATTAGTTAGATTCTCGTCGTTTTTTTTGTGGCAACTCTGGTCTGTTGTTGGTGTGGGCTAAATTATATGTATCTTCCTCACTAATTATACGGATTCCGATTGTATAACTGAATAGGCGTTTATGTGTTTAATACAAAATTCATTTGTAAGAACGCTATTAATAATAAGAATAATAAAAAACTAAAATTGCTGTCGGAGCAAGACATTAAGTCAGGCTTAATAGACTACGAATAAATTGATGATTGCTCCGACAAACCGATTAATTTACGACTTAGTGCATCAGGTTAACAATAATTTGTACAATCCCATCAATCGAAGAATGCAAATACATTTGGAGCTATTGAATATGTTGATATCTTGAAGCAGCCATAAATATCTTACCTAGAATTGAGAGCACATATGACGGAGCCGACCGCGACCACGCTTGGGAGGACAACCCAGAATATTAAATATCTGGTTTATTATTTTATACGGAAGCAAAAAAGGTAGATATGCAAAAACACAATAAAAATATTTACGCAACCTTTAGCCTTAAGGCTGTTATATAAATTACCAGTCTTACAGCGTATATAAAAGCCCCGTTTTCAGCATACATGCCGATTGCCTTAAAATTCATAGGGTGCAATATTTTTTTTTAATAAATATTTTCTTGAATATTGGCATTGACATGTTCTTCTTTTAAATATATCCAAATTGAATTCTTTGTTCGCCCACATCTTCAGGTAAGCATTCACGCGATCTAGTTTTAAATAAAACTGATGTTAGCGATGAAGCAACAACAGCAGAGACGACAACAACCTGCAACTAGCATGATTAAGACACGCCATTCCAGAAGCACATTCAACAAATCATCAGGGCAGAGCGACAGACGCCACACACACACACATGACACAAATGGGAGCTAGCAACAGGAGCAGCAAAACAAGAACTGGTTCAAAAACAAAAACAAGAGCAACAAAAACAAATGGCTGCTGTAACAATGAAAACGGCAACGGGGAAAAAATAAAAGAAACCATACAGGAATGCTTTATGTTTCCTATTGTTTTTCTTTTTTTTTATTGAGTTTCTTTCTTTTTGGTGTTTGGGTTTTAGAAAATAGATATATTTTTTGTTCTACCCTGCTCACCCAATTGTTCTAGAAACATCGTGGAAAATGTGTGAACATATATTGTGGTATGTGAACGGTATTTACATATGCAGCAAAATAACTAAAAATTTAGACTTTTAAATTATCTGTCTTTGAAACTTAAAGTCGTCGTTTTACAGTCACTATCTTCATAAAAGAGAAACATTTTTTCCAACTGAACGCAAGCTGTTATTATGTAATCAAAAGTTTGTTATTGAAGCGAGAAACAAATTAATAGTAAATCAGTCAAATTCCTTGAACAAATTTAACCAGCTTTCACGTTTAATGTTGAAAACTGAGAAAATTGTTCGCTTAAACTTTCAGGCAACTTCTTAGATCCAAGCAAGGATGATTGGATTTTTTTCTTAAGCGAAACCAAGGAGTTGAAAAATGGAAAAAGTTTAATAGCCCTACTGAAAAGCGGAATTTGAAGTATCATTTTGATGGATGCGTTCAGATATATTTGGAAAAGCTGATTTGCGATAAACTTTGGTGATTTGGCCCATTGTGGTAAAATCCACAATCCACTGACTATCACCATTGTCATGGCATCCTGCGGTGCTACTGCATCGGACTTGGAGTTACAGTTAACAACATCTCTCGTTTCCCCGTTGATATTTTGTCGGCTGCTGAGTTCATGTCAACGTTGGCAAGTTTTTAGTTTTTCAAATGTCTCTGGGGAATTTCACAGTGATGGACATCAGCAACAATAACGATGGCATTTCACTCAGCTACACCCACGCCGATACAATTTGCTTTTCCTATTTCTCGCTAAACCCACCCACTAACCGCAATGTTGTTGCCATTTTATTTTTACCCCATCCACAACTTTCAATGGCAGCTGAACAGCTTCTACGGTTGGCGATGACTGTGTTGGGACTTGGTATTCTTTCTTTTTTCCTCTATTTTTTTGCTTGTGAACTATTGTGTTGGTAGCACCACTGTCTGTCGGTTTGTTTATCTGTTCGTCTCAGAGTTATGTGGGCGATGACCGGCGACTGTCTAGAGTCTAGACCCTCGTCTCTCTCCCCCTCTCTCTCGTTGTCTGCGTGCCTAGTTTGCCACTTGTATTGGTAGTTCAGGAATTGAAGCTCTTAAAGTGTTCATTAAACAATTGAAAGTTTTTAATCGCATTTCATTCTGCTGGTCCAAAACTACTTCAAAGCGAACACGCAGACACATCTCTAATTTACAGTAAGTGTCTAAGTTTGTTTGCAATGTTTGTGTGTTTAGCGCAATTGGCTGTGACACACTCCTGGGATTTTAGTCTAGTTACGCTCAATTTTAGTAAATTGGTCCTTACATAATAGACCCGTATAAGGTTTCTACTTGAACTCTACTGAAGATCTTGTTATCTTCATAAGCAAAGCTTTGATTATTTGTTGTATGATTAGTAGTCTACTTTTCAGCATTAACTTTGAACACACGTTCATATTTAATATCGCGTGCTGCGAAAGTGTGAATGCAGTGCAATTTGTGTGTTTTCCACAAGTCGACAAGTTTATCGATTGTACTCAAAACTCACACACCCAACTTCAAAAGGAAGCTTTCCCCAGTCATGTTTCTGCTAATAATAATTTATGATAACAGAGTATTTCATCTTCATGATAGACCCTTGTAGGTACGGACAGATGGCAACAACTTTCAGCACACACACACAC